TCTGGAAAAAACAACACCACCAAACCACTTTCTGTATTTTCCCTGAAGTGACCAGGATCTGACCTCTTATCACCATAGCATTATAGAAAGCATCTCCTAGATGCTGCTTGTGTGGATTGATGCACAGAGAGTGTGTTTTCGTGTGATTGGCTTGGGCCATTTCTCCTCCTGCCAGCCCGACTTCTGTGACTTTGAAACCATCCCAAACCGTCCTCATAACCTTTCAGTGGGATTCCTCGCACCTGGGAGTCCTAGCAATGTTCACAGTTATTGCCATACAATAGTTAAGTGTTTTGTGGAGGAGTTAGCTATCAGGCCTGGGCTTGAGTAAACATCTGTGTGGGTGTCAGTTGTTTTGTTGTACCAAAATAAACAAATAAATAAATAAATGTTGATCTGAACTGAACTGAACTTGGATTTGTTGATTAACCAGAGTAATTTACTAGTTATTTGTGTCTTTTGGACTTTTCAGGTCTACGTTTGCTAGACTAGACACAATTATCCGTTACTTGTGAGAAGTTAAATTAGGGTTTTGCCATTTGCAGCAGTGAGTGGATTTCAAAGCAAGTGACGATCAACTGATGTTGCTCATCAGTTGTGTGTTTTAAAAAAATCTTGTGTAAAAAAAGGTTATGAATATTTTGAGGCATTGAATTGATTTGTTTGAAAGTATGATAACTCCCCCCACCCCCCACCCCCCCGGGAAGAGAAAATTTCATGCCCAGCAAAGCAGGGAGCAACTTCCCCAATTTATGTTGTGATCATTGTGTGGACTATAACAAGCCCTTTCTAGCCTCCTGTGTCCCCCATAAGCCACAGCGTAGCCTCTTTATGCACATCGTTGTCATCGTTGCAGGGAAAAGGTTGATAAGATGGAAAAAGTGTAAGGTTATTTGGTAATGATTTAAAAAAATAGTTCTGTATTGCTGCACTTTAGCCCCGCTTAGTATTCAAAGAGAATCGCTTCATTAAATCAGATCCATGGCATGAAACTTCACAGGTCTCTGGAGACATTCTATTTTTAGCGCTTTTGGTCTCTCTGTTGCATTTAAATATCTCACCTATATATTCAGCTGAAAATAATCTGGGTGTTTTTGTAGGTGATTATGCACTTAGGCTTCAATTCCACACCAATAGAAGAAGACAAAGACGAAGACGAAGACGAAGACGAAGACGAAGACG